TGTTCCCCAGGCGCCCGGATCGTCCCCTCGAGGTTTGTCCCGTTCGAGGCTTGCCGGCGCTTGGACTGGAGCCAGCCCCGTTCGCAAACCGAGGCAAGCAGCATTGGGGCGTTACATTCTAGCCAGCTTCGGCAGGGAACGATCAATCAGAGTCGTTCTCCATCACCTCTGTTTGCCAACCCTGGGCGGGTTGGAATAGGGGGGTGCGTTGAGCACGCCGGCGACGTGAGGAGAGATGGGGGAAGTTGAGGCACGAAGATGCGCGAATCGTGCTGACCCAAGCTCGAAGCGGAGAGGTGGAGTGGCAAGTGGACGGGGAAAGGGCTGGTACTGTCGGCCCTGATCAGTAGGTCGACCCTGCCAAGTCCAGGGTGCCCTTGTGTCGTGCGCCTCGCGACCCAGGCCTCCTACAGTGCCGTTTTTAATACACGCTCCGCGTGCGGATCATGTATTAACAATGCAGGGATTTTGTATAAAAACAACGATGAGTTCATGCATACATTTATTCATAAATTAATCATGTATTAAACATCCAATATGTTTAAACATCCTATGTATTAAAAACTGCCCTGTACTTTCCTGTTGTACTGTGGCCCTCGGAAGTGTCTTGTGTCATCTTGCGTGTCCTGCCCAATCCACTCCGACTGTCGGATTCTCCAGCTAGGGGGCCACATGCGAACCCTAACCCTGCCCCACACGATTTCCGAGGGGGAGGGTGGGGTTCACTTCGTTCGGAAGCTCCCGAGCGAAGTGAACCCCAACCTCCCCCTCGGAAATCGTGGGGGGTAGGGGTAGGGTTCGCAGGTGGCCCCCTACCAGCACAGGCTTCCCCGACTGCGCAGGACTCCCTCCGGCCGTGCCGCCGCCGACCCCCTCGCCGCCCCGCCGCGAGCTGCCTGCGCATCAAGGGCGTGGCTACGAGCATCGACCTGCAGATGCTGCGGTACGAAGCGAGGACGGGTGCGGGAGAGGGGATGCTCGGGCCGGACGAAAGGGGGGGGATTGGGAAAGGGGAGGTTACGAAATTTGCTGCACGCAGCTGGTTTCGGCCCCAGCGAGGGGCCCAGTCCTCGATACATAGCCGCCTCCGGCGCCGGAAGGCGCCGGGGAAATCAGCTACGTGAGCTGATTCTCAACCCCCCCTTTGCTATCCCCCCCTTTCGCCCGACCCGAGATTCGACTCCATCCGAGTTCGATGGATTCCGATTCCGATCCGATTCGATTCGGGATCCCGATTTAGGTTTCGATTGCTCCTTGGACGCATGCAGGCCAGGGACTTCAGCCCATTCGAGTGTTTCCGACTCGGCTGCCGATGTCCGCCCATGTGGGGGAGGCCGCGTCGTGGGGGACGATAAAGAGGGGGGGGCAGCGAGGGCTGCAGAAAAAGGTGCCCCTTCGGGGCCCTACAGGGCCCCTTTCGGGCCCCGCCTAAATGGAGGCCCAAAGGGCCCGTAAGGGGCACTTTTCCTTCCCTCCACACTGATCGCTCCCCACGATGGGCATACAGGCCTAGAAACACCCTGCTTGCCTCCAGGGTGCCCTGGGATCCTTGGGTTGGTCTGCCATGGAGATCGTGACGTTCCCACACCAGAAAGCAGTGACGTCCTGGGGGATCAGTGGTGGGCTCATTGTGGAAGGTTTCTTGTGGCCGAGCTCCCACTGTGGCAGCGCCGCGCCCCGCGCGCTTGCAGGGTGCTCTTCTTCGCTCGCGTCCCTCCCCGCCCTGGCGGCCCTCTCGGTGCCCTGGCTGTGGCCTTTCGCGCGCCTCGCCTCGCGCCTCTGGCTCCCCCCGCCTCGCTGGACGCGAGGCGTGGGCGCCCGCCGGGCTCCCTCTCTTCCGCCCTCGGCCGTCCCGTCCTCCCTCCTCGCTGTCTCCCGGGGCTGCCGCGCCCACGCGTGATGGGCGGGTGGCCCCGGCAGCCCGAGAGTGAGCCCACCCGAGCGCGAGGAGCGGCGGCAGCCTGTAAAGACAAACATAAGATCGGGCAAGTTTGTACTTGCACAGCGTTCGCCCCCCCCCCCCCCCGCCTCGCCCCTCTTCAAACAAAACACTGGCGTGCAGGTGCTCCTCGACCTGCGTGACCTCGGCACGTGCGATTCGTCTGCGGCCTGCTTCAGGTTCAGCCCCCCCCGTCCATGCAAGTACCGAGTAGGGGATGGACTACACGATTGAGTTACCCTGAAATTGATTTTCTCGTCGAGTCTCGAAACAAGTACGTAGAAAGCTCCGTAGATTCGACTGAGGAATCAATTTTGGGGTAAACCAATTCTGTAGTCGATCTCCTACTCGAAAGTAAGTTCTGCTAGAGTCTTCAAAGGAACATGCTCTGGGGCCGTGGCGCCTCCCGCAGCCTCCTGGACAAGCCCCCCCCCGGGCTCCGGGACAGGGGCGCCCCATCCCCCGGGGGAAGCGGCCATCTGCACGAACGAGATGGGCACGGAAAGAATGGGCACGATGCCCAACAGCAGTTCTTGTTCATTTTGAACAGGACTCGCTGTCCGCGCCGCCGCAGCCTGTGTCCATTTGAGACAGAAGGCCGCCTGCCCAACAGCGGCCGGTGTTGGTTCGGGGCAACATTAGCTGTTGGGCATTGTGCCCATTGTTTCCGTGCCCATTTCGGGCGTCCAAAGGCCAGGCCGCGCGAAGCTGTGAGCCGTCTCGCCATGGTCGGGGGCGGCAAAGAGGGGGGTGATCACTGCAGTCGAATCTCACAGTAAGGACGCACGGATGTCGTCAGGGTACCCTTGCGGCCTTGCCTCTGCGGCCCCTCCTTCGTGGTTTTCACTGGCCAACCCTTCAGGGTGGTGGCAGTCCGCCGCCCACAAGGTGCCAATTTCGGCGTCCAAGGCCCTTGCGTCCTTACCGCCCGTCCTTATTGTAGAGTTCGATTGTATGGGGGGGATATCATGGCGGGGGCCACGATACCTCTTCTTGCTGCAGTGCGCCCCCGGCCCCCCCTTGGGCCGCGCCCATGCCGCTGACCATGATTTGCGCCCCCCACCCCCCCTCTTGGACGCCCCCCTCTTGGCCGCCCCCAGCAGGGGGGAAACGCGTGCTGAGGGAGACGCGCCCCGAGCTTTGCCTAAGTTTTCGGGCGCTCGGGGCCCTCCACGGCCCTCGGGGCCGTCAGAACACGACTCGGGAGGAGGAGCTGGTCCTGGGCGGAGGCCCCAGGGTCCGGGCCACGTTTCCCTCAGGACCCGCTTCCCCCATGCTGACGACCGATCGGAGCTGCGATCCATCGGGCATGGAGAGCCGCCCACGCACGCACGTCGACGGAGGAAAGCTGCGCCGGGTCGCCCGGCATTGGCATGCGATGGTGCTGGTGCAGTCCCCAGTTCGTCGTCGCTCAACTTGGCATCGCTTGGACGTGTGCATTTTTCTTTCGACGAGGACCATCGAGGAACATCCTTGATCATTTGGCGAAAAAGCCACGCACGACGAAAAAAACAGGGAGTGGACGTCCGAGCGATGGCCAGTCAACGACGTGCGCTCGCCGGATCCGTGCGGTTGTCTTTGGACGTCGAGCGGCTACCCGCCTGGGGTGCATTCGGAGTGCGGTGCCGTGCGCGCACGTGGAGTGCCTATTGGCAGCTTTAACGAAAGGGTGTGTTTTTCCCATCCCGCCTGGGTTGGGCACTCGTTTTGAGTGGAGCACTGTGGTCTCCACCTCCTCCTCCTCCTCATCCTCCTCCTCCTCCCGCCTCCTTCCTCCTCCTCCTCCTCCTGCCTCCTCCCGCCTCTACCTCCTCCTGCCTCCTCCTGCCCTTGCCTCTTGCTTCATTCCCAACCCTCCTCGGTTGGGTATTCGTTCTGAATAGAGCACCGTGGTCGCCACTTTCGAGGGCTGCTGGGGGGCTAGCATGGTGACGTCCTACCCAGACTCAGTTTAGACCTCGCCATCTCTGGGGGCTGCAATCTGTGAAACTGTCGCCACTTTGATTAGACCTCGTCATCTGTGGGGGGCCTGCTATCTGCGAAACCGTCGCCACTTTCGAGGGCTGCTAGGGTGTCGGCATGGTGACGTCCTACCCAGACTCAAATTAGACTTCGCCATCTCTGGGGGGCTGCAATCTGTGAAACTGTCGCCACTTTCGAGGGCTTGCTGGGGGGGCCAGCATAGTGGGGGCCCTACCCAGCTTCGGACTAGAACTCGCCATCCCTGAGGGGCTGCGATGTGCGAAGCTATCGCCACGTTGGAGGGTTCGCTGGGGGGGCAGCATAGTGGGGGCCCTACCCAGACTTGTTTCGAGGGCTGCTGGGGGCCAGCATAATGGGCATCTGCCGCGGACATGGATTAGACCTCGCCGTTCCTTTTGGGGGGTCGATCTGGGAAAGTGCTGCTTCTTTCGAGGGCTGCTGGGTGGAATAGTTCTCGATCTCTTCGAGCCAAGGAAATAGCTAATCACCTCCATCAAGCCCTTGTTCATCGATCCTTGCCCTGCGAGTCGCGCAGCTCGGCGAGCCTCCCAAGTAGCGTTCGCGACTAATGTAGGTCCTTGCCACGTTATCCTCCCCCCCGTAAATTCTTCCCAGCTTTTCTGGCCACACGTTGCGCAAGGGTTGGGTACATCGTCAGGGGAATGTGCTAACAGGGGGCTCTGTCCACCCCCGAATTCAAGGGAGGCCTCCATACGCTCTTGGGGGGGCAGTTCGCAGGGAGGTTTCTTCGGGCCTTCCAGGGTCCTCTTCCAGAGTCTCGGGGGATTGCTGGGGCAGTCTTGGAGAGGTCGCTGGCGGTGTCGGGACTTGCCTGCCTTGTGGGCTTCTGGGGTCGTTGTCTGGGCGTCTGCGCAGGTTGCCAGACTGCAGCTGTGGGGGGCTCCTGGGAGTCTCTGGGAGGCTTCTCGGGCCCTCCCAGGGGCCTCTCGGGTGCCATTCGGGGGCCGTCTTGGGCCCGCTCGGGGCTCTCGTGCAGCTCCTGCGGGGCCCTCCTGGCTGGGGCTCGCCACTCGTGGATCCGAGACCTCTCGAGGCACTGCTGGCACGCTTTGGGGGGATCTTCGCAGCGCTCGTGCCGCTCATCGACGCTCGGCCAGGGCCCCTGGGCCTTTGCCGATTTCAGTTCGCCGTGCCGATCACGAAAGTTCCTTCCCCCCAGAGGGGGTCCGCCTGGTAGGGGTCGGCGGGGTGGCGGGGAAGAGGAGCACATCACGACCACATGGGCTTCCTTCCCTGAACCCTCTGATCGGCGACAACGGAGAGGGCGAACGGCAGCCAACGCAGTGGGTGGGGAAACATGGGAATTGGAATACGGAGCGATGGTCTGGGAGTCGTCTTAGAACCTGGGTTAAAGTATGCACGTCGGATTGTCGCCAAGCATTTGGTGGACAGGCGACGTCCTGAAGCTAGTTCAGCAGCTTGCGTAGAGTAGAAAGTGATTGAACGGGTGGGGGAGGACATCTTGAGATATGATTCCTTCGGTTCGACTTTGGTTGAATAGGCATTATCCCCGCAGTTGATTGTTTTTCCACCGATACTCGAGAGCGACCAGACTTCCAGATCCACATAGACCCATCGTGCGGACACAGTTTTGCGGCATCCACGTTCCACGCTTAGACCAGTATCCCCAAATGTACCGGATCGGCAATTTCAGTTCTACTCCTGCCATCCGTGGTCACGCATGTTCCCACGCTTCTTCCTTCGATGCCGGCTTATGTTACGGTTTCTCTTCGTCTGTCTTACCCTTTGTTAAATGTGTCTTCTTGATCATTCTTTTTCGGACCTCCTCCTCCTCCTCGGAGTGCTCATCTAGGCAGGGAGCCCACAGGCAGTCACGAGGAGCATTAGCGAGGTTTCTCGGAGTGCAACTCATGACAGACAATATGGGCGCAACAGTGCGCCTGCATCGCCATCGCAATGGGATCAGGTACACTAACTGCAGGGTGTGGAAGGGGAACAAATCATCATCAAGAAGCCCACCAGTGTTCTCCCCATTGGCCCTATCTATGACCGTGACTTCCAGCATGCTCTACCTCGCACGCTCCAAGGGGGAACCTTGGGCTGCTTAACAAGGTACCAGAATACAGATGTGACCATACATGGAGCACCTCCCGGAACGACCGAGAAGTGAGCTGTGCTGGAGTGGGGAGCACGGAATGAAAACTGTAGAGGGAGCAGCCCCCCCAGCAACAGCTAGGGGTCTCGCGCCTTCCGTGTCTCCCCCCTCTCCTCCTCTTGAGGTCGTGTCGTCGTCTCCTCTCCCGGTTGGTCTGGGCGCCTTGCTAAGGCCTCGCGCCCCCTCCCAAGGGACACGCGGAAGGGCCAGCAGCTGCTCCCCCCCGCACTGACCCTATTGGACTCGTGCTGTATGGTAGCGAGCCTCTCTCACGGGGCCACTTCGGAGCTCGGTCCTTGAGCTACGGGGTATGCCCCCTGCAGGCCCTAGTGAGAAAGCAGGGCTGCTGCGCAACAGATCGCAGGGGGTTTTGGTAATAGCGCGTAGATCGCCCGAGTAGGTGCTCTGACGTTAAACACTTTTTATGCGGATGTCCTTGTCCTTGTCCTCCTCCTCATTCTCCTCCCCCTACCCCCGCTACCCCTGAATCCTTATCGCCCTGGTCTCGTTCGGCCGATTCGACGACGACGACGACGACGACGTTGCCTTCGATTGCGATGGCGACGGCGATGTCAAACAGCGACGGCGCGCCCCGCCCGACGGACTCGCCGACGCCGCCGACGACGACGTCGCTCCTCCTCGGTCCGCCTCGTTCCGGCCCACCCCTGCCCAAGGACGGCAGCCAGAAAGCAGGCCGAGCTCTCCAAGCTGGTCCACGCACTGGTGGACTCGCGCCTCGCAGCGGGCGGCGCGGGCGCCCCACAGGGGGGGGGCGGCCGGCGGGCGGCCACGAGGAGGGGCTTGGCTCTTCGAGGGCCTCTTCCGCCGCCGCCATCTGCCCGTCCGCACCCTCCTGGGGGGGGGGGGGGAGCGGAGGAGGATGAGGAGGAGGATGTAGAGGAGGAGGAGGAGGAGGAGGAGGAGGAGGAGGAGGAGGAGGAGGATATGGAGACAACGTGTGTATTCATTCATGTAATATGTCTTTACAGACAGAGAGAGAGGGAGAGAGCGAGAAAGCAACAAACCAATCCAGAAATATATATAAATAAAAAAGAGAGGCAGACAGGGGGAGAAAGGAAGATATAATGCAGCTTTCCCCCACGAGTTATCTTTTGGGCGTCTGTTAATCGGCTGGCCACGCCTGAAGGGTGTCACGCCAGACTGAACAGATCAGCCAGCGGCTGGCATTTACAACCCAGGGCGTAGGATTGATTTGCCAGCCTAGGCCTTCATTTTGCAAGTTGAACCCGTGCCAAGACAGGGTGACGATGCATTCCGTTTTTCCGCGCCAGGCAGCAGGATGGCGGCTTCCTTGAATCAAGAAGCAGCCCCATGAACATGAACCGGATCTTTTCAGCGAGTTTAGGGGGTCCCCTCGGAGCCAACCGCGAAGTCTCTAGGAGCTCTGGGTATCTTCGCCAGTGCGAAGGAGTTGCCTGGCGTGTGGCTGCGATAAGCCTAACTTGTTCCGTTCTTCCTGGCCTCCCTCTGTCCTGACATTCCAGGGGGGTGGAAGGATCTTTTTCCAAAACCTATATATCAACAGCGCCAGTTCTCTGGATCCTCCAATGCTGAAAGTTCGCTCTAGTTGGCAAGGGGGTCATCTGTCAGCAGATCAGCTGGCACACTGATCCCGCATAGCGACAGCTAGACACGGCGGGCCCCCCTGCGCGAAGCTAGCCTGATGGGCCTGTTTTCAACCACCACCACCATAAGTTGGAGGGTGAGGGCGTCCTCCTCCTCCTCCTCCTCCTCCACCTCCACCTCCACCTCCTCCTCCTCCTCCTCCTCCTGCTCCCTCTCCAACTTATGGTGGTGGTGGTGGAAAACAGGCCCATCATAGCCCGCCAACGTTGCAACCATGGAGGATGAGCAGGAGGAGGAGGACGACGACGACGACGAGCAGGAAGTGGCGTGTTAGCATACATTCGGGTATATTTGGGAGGGCACATTGGGCGATCTTTTCGGGGCCCTCTCGGGGGGCGGCGAGTCTCTCAGGGACTCTTGGGGCCTCTTGGGGCTTCTCTGGGGTGTCTCATGACGTTCTTGGCTTGCCTTCTCGCCAAAACTACTTGCGCCGAGAGGGCTGGTGGTATCTGCAAGCTCCCTCCAGGATCCGCCGGCCTTGTGTTCGCTCTGTTTTTGTGGAGGGCTCTTCGTCTTCTCGCGGTGCTGCTGGCCCCCCTCCCCCGTAGCTCTTCGGCGGGTGTCTGATGGGTTTGTTTTCCACCACCACCACCACCATAAGTTGGAGGGGGGCAGGAGGAGGAGGAGGAGGAGGAGGAGAAACTTATGGTGGCAGTTGTGGAAAACAGGCCCATCATCGTCGGGGAGCGACGGGGTTGAAGTGAGAAGGAGAAGGCCCCCTCAGAAGTTTCGGAAATCCCCTGGCCTTCTCCGAAGTTTCCTGGGCCTTCCCCGAAAGCCGAAAAAAACTGCCTCTCTGGCAGCGCGAGGGCCTCTGAGAAGTGTCCCGCCGCCCTCCGAGCAGGCCTCTTCTCCTTTCCGCTTCCCCCCCCTCGTTCACCGCCGGTCTTCGGGTGGCCAGCCGCCCGCCCGCCCGCCCCGGCCCAGGCGGCAGCTCCGAGTGTGCAGGCTCAGCTCCGAGCACGCGCCGCAGCAGCACCCGCCGCGCGCGGTCGCGGTCGTGCCAGCGGGCGGAGGAGCGGCCTCCGCCAGCGTGGTTCATGCAGAGGAGGAGGAGGAGGAGGAGGAGGAGGAGGAGGAGGAGGAGGAGGAGCCCCTCTCCCTCCCCGAAGCGCGCGACAAGGGGGAAGAGGGCACAGAGGCCGAGGAGGAGCACCGTCGGAGGGCGACTCCAAGAGGTCGGGGTCGGTTCGCGGAGGTTGCCCTGACGCTCCTCGGGCTTCTTGTTGGACGCTCGTGCGCATCCTGGGGGAGGGTGCAGTCGGCCCGCATAGTAAGGATGGGCAGGCTTCCCAAGGGTACCCCTGCATCCCTGCTCCTTCGGCCCATCCCTCTCAGCGGCTTCCGCTGGCCAGCCTCGTTCGGAAAAACGTTGACGGTGGCATCCAAGGCCCTTGCATCCTTACCGCGCATCCTCATGGTACAAGCTGACTGTACCATCGAATGCTTTTCAGCTCGTCCAGCGGAGGGTCTCGCGCTCTTGAAAAATTGCCGTTATGTCCCAGGCCTTGCTGCAGGGAGCCGGAGAGGGCAGGACAGCGGAGAATATCCTTCTGTCCGAGGCCCGGCGGCCTGACTCGCAGGATGCGGCCCCACTCTGGCGGGGAGGGGTTGGGCCGCGGAGACTGTCGGGGAGGGCGGGAGGTGGAGAGGGAGGCGGGGAGGCGAGGGGGAGGGGGGAGGGGGCGGGGGGGAGAGTCGCGGATGCACGGAAGTCGCCAGGGCGGGGAGGGGGGGGAGGGGAGGAGGGAGGAGGAGGGAGGAGGAGGAGGAGGAGGAGGAGGAGGAGGAGGAGGAGGAGGAGGAGGAGGAGGAGGAGGAGGAGGAGGAGGAGGAGGAGGAGGAGGAGGAGGAGGAGGAGGAGGAGGGAGGAGGAGGGAGGAGGAGGAGGAGGAGGAGGAGGAGGAGGAGGAGGAGGAGGAGGAGGGGAGGAGGGAGGAGGAGGAGGAGGAGGAGGGAGGAGTGGAGGAGGAGGGAGAGGAGGAGGGAGGGGGAGGAGGCGAGGACGGAGGAGGAGGAGGGAAGGAGGAAGGAGGAGAGAGGAGGAGGAGGAGGAGAGGAGGAGGAGGAGGAGGAGGAGGAGAGGGATGAGGGGGATGAGAGGGAGGAGGCGGAGGAGGAGGTGGAGGTGGAGGAGGAGGATAATGTTAATAACTAGAAGACTGATAATATCAATAACCATAATGAATTATAATCATATTCTTTCAACCAAAGAGAATAAGTATAACAAGCAGTACAGTAATCATAAGAATAATAATCGTAATACGAGAAATCATAATAATAATAGTAACACTATTTCAAAGAAGACGAGTAATAATAATAATAGTAATAATAAGAAGAAGAAGAAGAAGAAGAAGAAGAGGAGGAGGTGGAGGAAGAGGAGGAGGAGGAGGAGGCGGGGGGCGGTGCAGCACCAGTGTCCCCTTCCGCGGGCGCGCGTGGCACGCGCGGGTGCCGCTGAGAGGTGCGGGGGCGCCGGCCTCTCAGCCTCCCTCCTCTCGGCTAAATCGGGCCTGTCCCTCTACAGGAGGAGTATTCAAAGATACCCCCAAAAACCTGGCGAAGGACCCAACCATATGCAGTTGCGAATACCGCAATTGTGAATATCATCTTCGCCCGCGCTCCCGTGTGAGGGGCGTGCCGAAATACGCGGCGGGGTACACAACGCGAACGAAGACGATAGGCTTGTGCGCGAGAGACTGAGAGCGGGTGAGACTGAGCGCGAGTGCGTCTGATTGTGAATGAGTCCGCGCGCGCGTGAGTCTACGTGCATAAATGTCGACGCCCATGTCGGCATGCCCTTCACAAGGGTCGCGCCCGCTTCCTTCCCGTTCTTTTTTCTCCCTCTTTGCCCGAGCGCGCCATTTCCAAGGCTGCGGGTGCGGCGCCGCACGAAGTCCCCGCGACGCACGGAGGTCGCCATGAAGGGGTCCCGGCAACGTGCGCGGGCCCGCTGCGCGGAGCAGAGAAACCAAGTTGGTTGGTTGATAGCGGGCAAAGCTCTGGCCGCTGGCCGCGATACGAACCCTACCAGTGGCGCCTTTGGTGGAGCCCCCTGTGGGGCGACGATCCCCGAGAAGGGTGTGCCGAAATGGGGCGTGGCCGAGATGCGACCCTTGCCACTGGCGCCTTCGGTGGAGGTCCCACGGGGCCACGATCCTCGTGAAGGGTGCGCCGAAATGGCCCGAGGCCGCCGTGCGAACCCTGCCACTGGGGCCTTCGGTGGAGCTCCTCATGGGGCCACGATCCTTGTGAGGGGTTTGCCGAAATGGCCCGAGGCCGCCATGCGAACCCTGCCAGTGGCGCCTTCGGTGGACCTCCTATGGGGCGACGATCTTCTTGAGGGGTGTGCCGAGATTGCCCGAGGCCGCCACGCGAACCCTGCCAGTGGCGCCTTCGGTGGAGCTCCTATGAGGCCACGATCCTCGCGAGGGATGTGCCGAAATGGCCCGAGGCCACCATGCGAACCCTGCCTGGGGCGTTCGGTGGAGCTCCTCATGGGGCAACGATCCTGGTGAGGGGTGTGCCCGACTGGCCCGAGGCCGCCATGCGAACCTTGCCACTGGCGCCGTCGGTGACTCCTATGGGGCCATGATCCTTCTGACGGGTTTGCCGAAATGGCCCGAGGCCGCCATGCGAACTCTGCCACTGGCGCCTGCGGTGGATCTCCTATAGGGCCACGGTCCTCGCAAGGGATGTGCCAGAATGGCCCGAGGCCGCCATGCGAACCTTGCCACCCTCGTGAGGGGTGTGCCGGAATGGCCCGAGGCCGCCATGCGACACTGCCACTCGGGCTTTCGGTGGAGCTCCTATGGGGCCACGATCCTCGTAAGGGGTGTGCCGGAATGGCCCGAGGCCGCCATGCGAACCTTGCCATCGGGGCCTTCGGTGGAGTCCCTATGGCTTATGGGGCGACGATCCTCGTGAGGGGTGTGCCCGAGGCCGCCATGCGAACCCTGCCAGTGGCGCCTTCGGTGGAGGTCCCTATGGGGCCACGATCGTCGTGAGGGGTTTGCCGAAATGGCCCGAGGCCGCCATGCGAACCCTGCCATTGGGACCTTCGGTGGGGCTCCTCATGGGGCCAGGATCCTCGTGAAGGGTGTACCGGAATTCCCCGAGGCCGCCATGCGTACTCTGCCATTGGGGCCTTCGGTGAAGTTCCTATGGGGCCACGATCCTCGTGATGGGTGTGTGCCGAAATGGCCCGAGACCGCCATGCGAGCTCTCCCATCGGGGCCTTTGGTGGAGGTCCTCATGGGGTCACCAAGCGCTGTGCTGGGTTTGCCGAAGACATGCGGAGGGCAGAGGCAAGGATATGATGATGGTGATGCTGATGACGGCGATGATGACGCTGATGACGACGATGCTAATGATGATGATGATGATGATGATGATGATGATGATGATGATGATGATGATGATGATGATGATGATGATGCTGATGATGATGATGATGATGATGATGATGATGATGATGATGATGATGATGTTGATGCTGATGCTGATGCTGATGCTGATGCTGATGCTGCTGCTGATGATGATGATGATGATGTTGATGAGGGTAACGGCGATGATGGTGATGATGATGATGACGATGATGATGATGATGACGATGATGATGCTGCCGATACCGATGATGATGCTGATGATGATGGTATGATCTGATATGATATGATATGATATGATATGATATGATATGATATGATATGATATGATATGATATGAGGAGGAGGGAGGGGGCAGCGGGAGGAATAAGTGAACGCCGGGGCGCTGTCTCCTCAAAACAAGGACTCAACCCCACAGGATGGTTGGGAAATTGTCGGGGTCAAATTTTGGAGTAGGTTCGATGTCGTTCTGATATTTTCGACTATCTTCATTTTCGTCCAAGATCCGCCTGCAGGGGGGACATGCCTGACCTAACTCTCGGCCCGTTTCGCTTCGCCCTCCACCCGGCACGGCACGCGTGCACAGCACACAGCACGTATGGCTTCAGCTGCGAAGGGGGGTTGGGACCAGGCTTAAATCGGGCGTGTCCATCTACGGGGCGAATATCCAAAAACAGTGAAAAATAGTCAGGGGAGGCTTTTCCCACGATTTCCAAGTATTAAGCGATTTTTCTGATTACTGCGAAGGCCTCACGGCCGGTGCCGGCGACCCTGAAGGGGGACGCCGACGACAGCGACGGCGACGGCGACGATGGCCACAACGACGTCGACGACGACGACGGCGACGACGACGACGACGGCGACGCGGGTAGTTTTAGGGTCTCTTGGGAGCGTCTTGGAGGCCTGTTGGGGAGGCGCCTGGGGGCGTCTTGCGGCCTCTGTTGGGCCTCTTGGGGGCTTCTAGGGGTTTCTTGGGGGCCTCTTGGGGGCCTCCTGGGGCCTCGTGGGGGCCTCTCGGGGGGGGTGGGGGTGGTTGGTGGTGGTGGTGGTCGCGGAAGACCCGCATTTTCCGTTCGTGGTCCTTCTTTGGGGCTCTTCTTGGAGCCGTGTTGGGGCTCTCTTGGGCCGTCTTGGTGCCGTTTCGGGGCCCTCTTGGGCCTTCTTGGGGCCCTCTTGGGACCCTCGTGTGCCGTCTTGTGGCGATCTTGGGGGCGCCTTGGGCCGTCTTGGAGCGTCGGAAAGCCGAAAAGTCCGAAACGAAACAATCCTTTTTGAACAAACTTAAGATCGTTGATTTTGGTCTCTTGGGGCCCTCTTGGGAGGTTTCTTGGGGCGCTCTTGGGCCGTCTTGGGGTCTTCTTGTGCCGTCTTGGGGCCAGTCGTGGAAAACTCTTGGGCCGTTTGGAGGCTACTTTGGCGTCTTCGAGCGACAGTTCGGCGATTCGGACCCTCTTGAACTGTCCTGGGGAGCTCTTGGGGCCATCTTGGGGCTTTTCTGGGCCTGGGACACCCCCCCCCGGGACTCCCCCTAGCACCCCCCCCTGGCGAAGGGAAGGTAGGGACGGGTTTCGCTACGATTGCTACGGTGTTCGATTTCTTCTTCTTTCGGGCGGCGACGGCGACGACGACGACG